TTGCGAGGATAGCGATGAGTACCACCCTGATGCCTGTGACTGTTGACACTTTTGAGACGCGACGACGACACATAGGTCCAAAAGTGACGACAGTTACGAGGATGGCGACCCCGAGGGGCCCCATCCCTGTGACTGTCGACACTTTTGAAGCATCAGGGGGGCGGGGTGGGGGGGAGGATACCATGGGGGGGGGATGAGGGGGGGGTGGGAACGCGGAGCATAAACAGTTACTGGGTGGGGGCAGTACCCAAGCTTTGGGCTTTAGGGGCTTTGGTTTAAGGGTTTAGGGGCTATGGGATTAGGGTCTACGGTTTAGGGGTCAGGATATAGGATTTAGGCTCCAGGGGTTTAGGCATTAGGGTTAGGGTTTAGGGGCTACGTTTTTGTTGTTTAATTTCAGGAGCCTTTACGTCTGCACGCAGTGCATGGGGTGCTTGCAGCTCTTTCAGCAAGCTCAGTTTGGACCCCAATGGACCTTGCCAACTTTGAGGGGCTATGGATTTATGGATTGGGTTTAGGGGCTCTGGGTGTAGGAGTTAGGGTGTAGCCAGACATGAAGCTAGGTAATCATCCTACAAAAGAGGGTTATACGAATCCTGGCAGGGCCTCTCACCCCTCTTAGCCCCCAGCTGACCACTCTCAGTAGGGGATCGATGCTCTTGGGTCTTACCAAGAAGAAAGAGCCTCAGGCTCCTACCTCATGCATTGATGTGGTAGACTTAGCGCAAGGGCAAGAAAGATCCGCACTTGCAGCAGGGGTCTTCGCAGTCGCTAGTTAGTACTTTTCTGTCTTGGATGAACGTGGCTCCTACAGTGCTGCACGGGAGGCCTTGCGTAGACGTAGCAGAAGAGCCGAAGAGCGAACACGACGATGTTGGCTTTGTTCATGTAGGCGAAAAGAACCTGCAGAGTGGAATGGTACCAGCCAGCAATTAACAACCAGGTCCTGCAAGATTTTCTGAACGGTAGGGCAGGGAGTAAAGTGCAAAGAGCTAAGCTCTCCCAGAGCACACTGTGAAGTCAGAGTCTCATGAAAGTTTTCTGTCACCACACCTGGACTCCTCAGTCTGCTTCATGGACTATCGTTAAAGGACTCGATTTCCTAAGAGTCTTGGGCTCCTGTTGGGCAGCCGACTGCCTGCACGATGATGCCAGTAAGAGCTATGTTGGAGAACCATGCGTACAAGCGCGGCTTGTGCTTGTTGGCGGCAGAGAAGCCCATGCCTCAGCCAGCATGTTGCTAGTGACGACAAAAGCGGTAACCGTTGTAGGTTCGTCGTACTGCTATGCTTAATTCTAGTCGTGGTCGTCTAGTAATGGCAGCAGTAGTAATCCTCGTCGTAGCTTCAGAGAGGTGGAAAAAGTGGTTGGCGGTGGCAGTGGCGGTGGCGGCGGCGGCGGCGGTGGTGGTCGCCGTGGTGGCGGCGGTGGTAGTCATCATGGTGATGGTGGTAGTCATCATGGTGGTCGTCATGGTGGTCGTCATGGTGGTCGTCGTGGTGGTCGTCGTGGTGGTTGTCGTGGTGGTTGTGGTGGCTGTCGTGGTGGTTGTCGCGGTTGTTGTCGTGGTGGTTGTCGTGGTTGTGGTCGTGTTCGTCGTGGTCGTGGTCGTCGTTGTCGTCGTTGTGGTTGCCGCCGCGGCAGCGGTGGTGGCGGCGGCGGGTCGGCGGGGCCAGTGGCGGCAATGCTGGTGCGGGTGATTGCTGTATATTGATTATACAGACTTCCGATATTGACCGCCTGGATCCCAGATCCCAAATTTCTAAACCCCCGTACGGATCTACCATCAAAAGCCACGCGCTTGACTAGTAGTGGTCGCAATAACTTTTTGGGTAGAGGGCTTCTCCATCCCACAAACACATATGATATAGTTACTAGTGAATTGTACGGTACATGCGCATCTCGTGGGGGCTAAAAGACAAGCTGCAGAAATAGAGCTTCAGGTAAGCCAGCTGGAGGCCGAGCTGTGCCCAGAACCTCAGAAAGCTCCAAGCTAGATATTTGCTTAGCGTTTATATAGGCCAGGGCTTATACAGACATGTCCCCAGAACTTATCGTTGGATGCCTTTGTTTTATAATAGCCCACTTATGGAAAACAACCGTTTGCACAATCTCCCTACCTTGCAATGTACAATGCATGGGTGCTCGGTATGAAGGCTATCAGTGGAGGCATTGTGGAAATGGTTGAGCCAAACAAAAGATGATATTCTCTTCTAAATGCTACAGCCCAGAGGTAGTTAACGTTGCTCTATGCTGCTATCCTACACACAGCTCGGCTGACCCCCAAACCAGAAGGTGGAATGCAAACCAGCATCAAGAAGTCACACTTTTGCACCACAACATGGGAATCCAACGTCTCTGATCGTGGCTTGCCAGGAAATACTCGACGTCTGCAGCTTTGTGAGTGGCCCTCCGCTGTATATCGGGCTTCCCGATAATTTGGGGCCTCTTTTTTGCGAGTCCTCGTTATAATCATTAAGTTAGTATATGGAGGTCTGCATTAGGCCACCCCTTATCCGGAGAGACAATTAACTGACAGTCATCAGCACTACAGTGGTACCAAAACTCCTGCATGACCCTCAGTACCCTAAACCTTGGGAATTATGGGACTGTAGTATACTAAGGTCATGTAGGATTTTTAATATCAACAATATCCTTACGCACATGCATGTCGAGAAGAATAGTGAGCACTAGGCACAGGAATTGCCAAATATCACAAGGTCTCTGGCGTGGGGGGGTTGTCAAGATGGCAGTTCCTTCTAGGGTGGACATCGCAACAATGTATGGCTCCCTATATTTCGGGTACTTCAAAAGCAGGGTAGTTTAGAATAATTTCAATTCCCAATTTGAGGCCATGTGTTATAATTCCCGATATAAACCACCATTTAGGGTGAGNNGGTGAGGTTGGGTGAGGTCGCTTTATATTACCCAGCAAAAGGGATCATGATTTTGACAGCCTGCCAGCTTGCAGGAGATAGGAGATAGCAGCGCTCTGGGGGTATCACCCTAAACCCTAAACC